TTGAGTACCAAAAATGCTCTTGTGTACTATCCTCGTGTTGTTGATGTGTACTATGCTATAAATTATCGTCGGGTACAATTGTAATATGTAACGTTATATTACAATTTTTCTAGTTATATATAAATTTTATTCGTACATTCAATTTTAAAAATTTTTGCTCCCCGTACGACACATCCCTGGCTCCGCCCCTGACTGAGATGTGTAAAACTTAAAACCATTGTCTTTGTTACTTTAAATGTACAGAGTCTATCATAAAATCCTATTGTTTGCAAAGTCAAACGTTTCCCGTATCCATCAATGCATCTCCAATGTGGGGAATGTCTATATAGTTTTGCTAATTGTCGCACTTCCTTTACAGGGAATATCTAAGGGAAGACAAGGAAGGGAAGCACAGAATATCGTGAAGGTAAATTTGTTTACCCTTCTTTATAGCACTTCTATATTTGGGGGAGCAAATGGGGTCAGGCCATTTGAGGAACGGATTGAAAATATGGGCTGATTGGTCAATTTGCAATGTCTTTTTGTCAAATGAAAGAATGTGGAGAGATATTTTGTTATGTATTTATCCATGCATTCACGCAATTATGTATGTATGTATGTATATATGTATTACAAAGTGACCTATGGTTTTAAGTTCCTGCTTCCTTGCTTGCTGGGTTGCATGGAGAGAAATAGCGAGAGACAGATTTCATGAAAGAAGTCGTAGATACAAGATAGAAAAGGGGTTGGTGAGGAATATAGAAACTGGATAAATAAATAGGTTTTCAAACATTTTGTATAGGTAAAGATCTGTTAAGATAAGATTTTTCTTAGCAAAACCAAGACAAAATTAACTGATTTTTGTAACTTCAGTAAGCGAAGCTTATTCTCTTCGGTTTGCATTCCCTGTTCAAGCTGGGATATGTAGACCCTTTCTATATTTAAGTTGTTTTGTGCAATCTAAATGTTGGTTTTTCCAGGTCTATTTGGCTAATTTGCGCCTCAAGGAAGTTGGGACAGATGTTCTGATCACTGCATATGAGCCTATGTTGATAAAGTAAGTTGCAAAAACTTTCATCTGCCAACGCTTATCAGTTATCAATTTGTTTATTACTTTGTTGAACATATGCAAGTCTTGCCGAGCACATTGGAAAAACTCCTTTTTTCTACCTGCTGAGATGTACATAATATAATCTTTCATCTGATTTGTTTCCGTTCTTGAAGTCCTTTGAGTGAAAGTGGTAGCACAGTTGGGGCTGGTTTTGATGTACCTGCTGCTCAATCTGGATGTATGCCAATGGCTGAGGTCTTCAAGCTTGCTGTTTCTAGTTTCAAGGTCAATGATTGGAGCCTTTTTGGTGTTGCTCCTTGATAAGTTCTGGAAGGATGTCTGCAAACAAAAACATCGAATTATCCTAATGGCGTGTTTTCTATTTCCCATCTTAGGCCAATTTTCACTTGGACTTGAAAACTTCTACTTGGCAGAGGAAAAGTTGCTTGGATTTGGACCCTTGGAAGTTCTTTTAGTGTGTTCGCAGCCAGTTAGGTCTCAAAATTTGATGAAATACTTTCACTTGATCTTGGCAAATTCTCGTTATAGGTTACAATTCTTGGATCAGTGTCCTTACTTAAGGCTTTTGTTTTGAACTTTTCAGCGAACACTGTAATTACGTGTTTTTAGCATTTTCACAGTTCTGTCACTTTCAGATGGTAATTACTCCTTACACTGAATATT